TAACAAATATATCATGCACAGGCCAGCTGTGCTGCTTGCAGCACACATTTTCAGCTCTCTGGGCTCTGAATTCTTGATTTTCTTACTCTTTTTATTTTTCTTTTATTAAAAAATTAATTTATTTTGTTACAGATGTTTCTCCTTTTTCCCCCATTAACACCCTCTTCCTGATCCTGCCCCCACCCCCTTAGCATTGTTGTCTATGTCCATGGTTACACATACATGCATATAAGTTCTGTGGTTTATCTCTTCCCTACCCCCCGTCCCTATCTTCTGAGGTTTGTCAGTTCATACCCTACTTCTATGTCTCTGGGTCTATTTTGTTCATCAGCTTGTTTTATTCATTATATTTCACAAATTAAGTGAGATCATGTGATATTTGTCTTTCTCTGATTGGCTTGTTTTGCTTAGGATAATACTCTCCAGGTCCCTCCATGTCATCTCAAAGGATAAAAGATCTTTCTTTCTTACAGCTGTATAGTACTCCATTCTGTATATGTACCACAGCTTTTTTATCCACTCATCTATTGATGGATACTTGGGCTGTTTCCAAATCTTAGCTATTGTAAATAGTGCTGCTATGAACATGGGGGTACCTATATTCTTTCTGATTGGTGTTTCAGGCTTCTTAGGGTATATTCCTAGAAGTGGGACCACTGGGTCAAATGGCAGTTCAATTTTTAATTTTTTGAGGAAACACCATATTTTTTTCCATAATGGCTGCACCAATCTGCATTCCCACCAGCAGTGTACTAGAGTCCCCTTTTCTCCATATCCTCACCAGCACTTGTTGTTTGATGATTTGTTGATGGCAGCCATTCTGACAGGGGTGAGGTGATACCTTATAGTTGTTTTAATTTGCATCTCTCTGATGACTAGTGACATTGAGCATGGGATTATGCTCAACCAACTGTGCCACACCAGCTAGGGCTAGTTGAAATATTCCTGACACAGAAAACTCATTCTGTATTCATTTATTTGTCCTCCCTTTCATACACCCATATATCCAATTTTAAACATTTTACTAGGAAATACATATACAGGACACAAAATAGAAAAGGTATAAAAGGGTCTGTGCGGAAAAGGAACTTTGTCTCTTATCTTTGTTCTTCAGTCCTTTTCCAACAAATGCTTCCATTTTGAAGACCCATTTTTTATTTCCCCCTTACTCTAGATCCCACCATACATAGCCAGAATTATGGTGGCAAAATCACATAAACTTTAACTGAACTCAGGTTTGGCTGCCTGTCACAATGAAAGCCAAACTTGTGAGATGGGTGCTGGTGAAAAGGAAAGAGGTTTATTCAAGTGCTGGCATCTTGAGAAGATGGGGGACTCCTGTCTTCAAACACCCATCTTAATACCTCAGTGTAGGCAGAGGTTTTTATAAAGATGGAGTAGGAAAGCAGAACAAAGAGATCTGGGGGAGGGGCTATGGATTTGCTGTCTCTCCCAGGAGTAAAGGGATGGGAAACTGAAAGGGAATGGGAACATGCATGCAGCTATTCCTGACAAGTGGAAGCATAGGAAAGGGAAGGGGAGCGGAAGAGAAGTACAAATATGCCACTTCTCAAGCGTCCTCCCTTTGTTTCAGTGCTGTCTCTCTGCAAACAGGAATTTGAAGATTTATTAAGGACATCTACAGGTCTTCACAGCTAGTGCCAGTTAGTCCTTCTTCCCTGGAACAGGCAGCTCTAAGCTGTAAAAAAGGCTAGATAAAAAGTGAAAACACAGCACTTTATTTACATACTCTTAAGAAAACAGAGAGTTGCCCTGGCTAGTTTGGCTCAGCGGTTAGAGCGTCAGCCTGCAATCCAGAGAGACCCGGGTTCAGTTCCTGCTAAGGGCGCGTACCTCGGTTGCAGTTTTTTCCCGGCCCTCGTTGGTCATGTGGGTGGCAGCCACTCAGTGTGTCCCTTTCACATTGATGTTTGTCTCTCTCTCTTCCTCTCTCTCCCTCCCACTCTGTCTGAACAAAAAAAATGAAAAATGTCCTTGAGTGAGGATAAAAAAAGAAAAAAAAAAAGGAAAACAGAGAGTTGGCTGTAGCCTTGAGAGAATGCAGAATACATAAACTTTATCGTTTAATTGAAATGTTAAATTGTTACAAATATCACTGGGCAGTGCCCTGGCTGGTTTTCCCAGTGGTTAGAGCATTATCCTGTGGACTTAAGGGTTATGGGTTTGATTTCTGGTTAAGGGCATGTATCTGGGTTGCAGGTTTGATCCCCAGCTGTGGTAGGGGTTTTGTGGGAAGCAACCAATTGATGTGTCTCTTTCACATCGATGTTTCTCTCTCTCTCCTTCCCTTCCACTCTCTCTAAAATTCAATTGAAAAATATCCTCGGGTGAGGATTAACAACAACAAAAATCACTGGGCAAAAGACCTCCACCAGCATATTCCACACAATTTTATGATGTCAGATTTATGTGGACAGTTTTCAGGGGTTTTGGATCTTGTGTATGTCTGAAAATATAGAAGTTATATCAGAAATCAAAGGGCAATACTCAACACTGTTTATTTATTATTGCTGATTTTTAAAAAAATTTAAATTAAAAAATATAACTAACACACTTTGTTTTTTTTAAAAAAAATTAATATAGTACAATAGGATATGTAATGAAAGTGAGCTCATCCTTATTCCAAACCCCAGTTCTACTTTCCTCTCTCAGAAAGCCACCATCACAGTTTTTTGTGTTTCCTTCCAGAAACTTTCAATATAGTATACATGTACACATTCACATTATTCTTTAAAAAATAAATGGAAAGAGTTTTAGAAAGTTCTTGTTATTTGAGGATAACTGGACTTGGAAAAATTCAGATAAAGTGAATTCACTTAAAGTTAGCACAAATATTTCATAGTAAACATGGATTAAATTGCTTCGTGCCATGCATTTTCTTATAGAGAAGATGTATAATCCAGAACTCTAATATATTTTTATTGCCAGAATTCTAATGCCAACTCTACATTGATTGTGGCTTAATGGAAGGTCACAATAGTAGTTACAGTAGTTACAGTAGTAGTAGGTTTAATCCCTGGCATGACTCAAGACACACAGCCTCATTGTTTTTTGGTGGTAAAATACACATAACATAAAATTCACTATTTTAACCATTTTATTTTATTATTTTCATTTAAAAAGTTTTTTTCTGCCCTGGCCGGTTTGGCTCAGCAGTTAGAGCGTCGACCTGCGGTCCGCAGAGACCCGGGTTCGGTTCCTGCTAAGGGCACGTACTTCGGTTGCAGTTTGTCCTCGGCCCTGGTTGGTCGTGCGGGTGGCAGCCACTCGATGTGTCCCTTTCACATCGATGTTTCTCTCTCTCTCTCTCTTCCTCTCTCTCCCTCCCACTCTATCTGTACAAAAAATGGCAAAATGTCCTCGGGTGAGGATTAAAAAAAAAAAAAAAAAAGAAAAGTAAATGAAAAATAACAATAAATATGCTTTAAAAAAAAAAGTTTTTTTCTATTTATTTTTAGATAGAGGGGGGGAGAGAGAGGGAGAGAGTGAGAGAGAGAAACATCCATGTGAGAGAGACACATCGACTGGTTGCCTCTTGTACGACCCCGACCAGGGTTGGGGATGAACCACAGCTGAGGTACAGGCCTTTGACTGGAATCGAACTTGTGATTCTTTTGTCTGCAGGCTGATGCTCTAATTGCTGAGCCAAACCGGCCAGGGCTTGATTGTTTTATTATTAAAATTATTTTTTACTTATTAATTTGAGAGAGAGGATGGGAGTGGAGAGAGAGAGAGAGAGAGAGAGAGAGAGAGAGAGAGAGAGATCCATTTGTAGTTTCACTCATTTATGCATTCATTGGTTGATTTCTTTATGTGCCCTGACTGGAGATTGAACCTGCAACCTAACTAACTGAGCTCCTCTGTCAGGGCTTATTTAAACCATTTTAAAGTGTAAAATTCAGTGGCATTACGTACATTCACAGTGTTGTTTACCCATCATCACTATCTAATTCCAGAACTTTTTCATTACCCTAAAAGGAAATCCCATACCCATCAGCAATCATTTCCTATTCCCCTCTCCCCCAGCTCCTGGTAACCACGACTCTGCTTTCTATCTATATGGGTTTGTCTATTCCGGATATTCCATATAAGTGGAATCATACATATGTGGCTTTTGTGTCTGTCTTCTTTTATTTAGCATAATGTTTTCAGAGTTTTCTACATTGTAGTACTTCATTTTTTTTTTTTTAAATCCTCACCCGAGGACATTTTTCCATTTTTTGTTCAGATAGAGTGGGAGGAAGAGAGAGAGAGAGAGAGAGAGAGAGAGAGAGAGAGAGAGAGAGAGAGAGAGAGAGAGAGAAGAAATCGATGTGAAAGGACACATTGAGTGGTTGCCACCTGCATGACCCAACCTGGGCGGGGGACAAAGTTCAACCGAGGTACGTGCCTTAGCGGGAACCGAATCCGGGTCTCTCTGGACTGCAGGCTGACACTCTAACCGCTGAGCCAAACGGGCCAGGGCTGTAATACTTCATTTTTTTATGGTCAAATAATATCCCACTGTATGGATATACCACATTTTATTTATTTATTTATTTGTTTATTTATTTATTTATTAGTTGATGGACTTTTGGATTGTTTTTACCCTTTGGCTTTTGTGAATGAACATTTATGTGTAAGTTTTTCTTTGAACATCTGTTTCAGTTCTTTGGGGTATATATCTAGGAATGGAATTGCTGGGTCCATATGGTAATTCTAGGTTTAACTTTTTGAGGAAACATCTAATTCTTTGAACCTCTCTGATGCTGGTCCCTTTGCTCTGTACTGTAGTATGGATTTCTCCTTATATCATTAGTCTTTCAAATCAGGGAAGATTAATTAAAATCTGGATTAATTGATTAATATCTGGTTATTAGTCAAGTTTAAGATTCTCATAATTAGCATTATAATAGTAGGTCAGGTATTACTACATATTAAACCTTAAATATAGAAAACTATACAATATTGATTTTATATGTGTGCTCTTGTTAATGTAGTCAATGCACTGGGCTGTCAGAGGTAAAAAAGATCTGATGCTGGAAGAAACTGAGCAGACTCATACCAACAAGGTTGAAAATGAGGAATGGAAGGAACCAAGAGAAATAAAGAAAGAGGAGCTGGGTTCAACCACAGAGGAAATGGAGCAACAAGAATCTGAGTCCCTGGAGAAGTCATTCTCCCCACAGAATCCAGATTCTTCAAGTAAGTCATATCATATAGCTTTGCAGACAGAGGGTCTGAGTGTTGCCAAATTTAAGGATTGGTTTGAGACCTTAAAGGATACTTAGCATTGACACAGAAATTAAAGAAGATTTAAAATAATTTAAATGATTAAAATAATTAAAAATAAATTAAATTAAAGAAGATACATTCTTTAATACATTTCTGGTAAAGGAAACTTTGAGATATTTCTGGGAGTGTCTTCTTCACTGAAATAATGCTAGCTAACACTGGCGTGTTTACTATGTGCAGGAATGTTTTCACAGCATTCATTTTACATCTATTATCTCATTTAACACTAATTTTACACATACTAATTTATTTAATCCTCACTACAAGTTTGTTCTCATTTTACAGATGAGAAAACAGAAGCCCAGGGAGGATGAGTAATTTTCTCAAGGCCATACAGCTTGTATGTGGCAGGGCAGGGGTCTGAACTAAGGCAGTTTGGCTTCAGTCTGTTTCTAAGGCACTTCACAATCTTAAAAAATGCCTTATCTGTAAGTAGCTCTGTAGACATTCTAAATCATTTATAGATCCACTGAACCAGGGTGTTAGGAGGTTGAACTCCTAGCTTCCAAGCTACAGATTCTAACTCTACTACTTATTATCTGTATTACTTGGTAAAAGTTACTTAACTTCTCTAGACTTCAGTTTCCTAATCTTCAAAATAGAGATCATAATGGTACCTTCTCACAGACTTACCATAAGGATTAAATGAAGAGATCCATGCAAAATGCTTAGCACAGTGATTTGCCTATAGCAGGCCTTGGGTAAATATGAACTATTATTATCATTTCTTTGTCTATGTAGCCATCCTACTGTGTGTCTTGTATAGATAGGCATGTTATATACACACACCGTAACTGTCCTTCAGTATCTTATTTGTTTTTCAGTGCTGTGATGAAACATTCCATTAGATTTTAGCCTTTAAACAGAACGTTCCTGATTATCCTTGGACTCTTATTTAATAAAAGAAGATAATTCTATAGTTTGTTGTGAATTATAGTCTTTCTAGAAATAGTCACTTTGAATCTCTTTGGGAAGAACTTTTAAATGCTCACTACGTGCTGGGAATAAAGATTCTTAGAGTTTGATTCAGGTGTCTCTGCTGGTTACCCAAAGGATCCTTTTGTAGTCTGTACATTGCCTGCATCAGCCTCACAACTAGAAATGGGTATAGTAAACTGATCAAAGCAGAAGACTGAATGTCTGAAAAAGAGTGGTTTAAGGAAACACAGACATACAAACACCCACTCACATACACAAAGGCAAACATGCAGATGTTTCTCCATTCAGCCTTGAAATGTTCAGATCCATCCCTCCCTAATCCCTGGGGACCCCATGACTTTCTGTTCTGGATTCAGGCTTAAGCTGAGTTCACCAGATCTGGGGGGTGTTGGACACGTCAGAGACTCAGGCCTGATGCAGAGGCCCTACTTGAATCCCTCTCATAAGAGTCTTTGAAAATTTCTTTCTCTTTCTCTATTGATTTTAGCGAGAGAGGAAAGAAGAGGGAGAGCAAGATAGAAACATGGGTGAGAGAGAACATCTATTGGCTGCTTCCTGCATGCCCCACACTGGGGATTTGGCCCACAACCTGGGCATGTGACCAGGAATTGAACCGGTGACCTCTTGGTGCATGGGTCGATGCTCACCCACTGAGCCACACTGGCCGGGCGAAAATGTCTTTGTTTTAAAAAGTTATTTACATATGTTAAAAACCTCCAAATAATGAGCTTGTCATTAAAAATTCAAAGAATTATGTATAAACAATGACTTAGTGTCTACACAGTCTCCCACCCTTCTCTGCTTCTACTTTCTGAAGTAACCAGTGCAGATGCCTGGGTACACTGTTCCATATACTAATACAAGCATATATTAAGAACAGTATATGTTCACTTATGAGGGCTTTAAAAATACATAACAGCCATATACCAAGCACATTCCTCTATGTTACACAGTAGCTAAGAGCGCACTTGCTAGAATCAGATCCCATCTGTTCCACCAATGAGTTGTGTGACCTTGGGCAACTGAGTGTGTGGACAAAAAAAGGGTTCTATGGAAAGTAATCTCATACGGTGATCTGATCATAAATTTCTAACTGGGAAGGCCATGGTGGGTAGTCCCAACCCAGGCAGATAATTTCTTTAGTAAAAGGCTTACCTTTGCCTTAATCAAACCCTGGCCATTGCTTCTGTGCCTCTAGGTTAACACACCTTTAAAATGCCTCTTTTTAGAGTCCACCCAAACTCTGACCACCCTCAAGAGAGCACATATTCTTAACTTGTGATCTGATCCCTACCTTTGTGTAATCTTCCTTATATTCCCTCCTTAATCACAAACACATAAAAGAAACTACAAACTGTCTTTCTGGGAAGCATTTTTCTGTCTATTGAGATCTTGCTTCCAGGCATATCGTTTGTTTAACTCAAATAATAAAAAATTTGATATGTTTTCATTGATTTTTTTAGAGAGAGGAAGGGAGATAGAAACATCAATGTGAGAGAGACATCAATTGGCTGCCTCCTGCACGCCCTCTACTGGGGATCTAGCCTGAAACCTGGGCATGTGCCCCAACCAGGAATTGAACCGGGACCTCTCAGTCTCTGGGACGATGCTCAACCCACTGAGCCACACCAGCTGGACTCAAATAATACATTTTAATAAAAATTCTCTACAGGTTTGGGTATTTTTATGTTAACAACAGTTAACCTCTCTGGGTTTTCTTATCTGTATATAATGGTTAAAATATTAGTTTACTTAGAAAGGGTAAATCTTTGGTATGAATTATCAGTATTTTACAGTAACTGATTAACTTAAGCAGACTTTGAAGAGTAAATAAGTTATATGTAAAATGTTTAGATCAGGCACATAGTTTTATTTCGTGTCAGATTTTATTATTATAGGACTTCTCCGTAGACCAGTACATTTAGAATTAACTCATTGTTTCTGACAGCTGATAAATATTCCACTGTACAGATATATCATAATTTACTCAGAATAAATCGTGATGTCTGTTTATGGCCCTCCCATTATAGAATGTATTCTCTTACTGTGGTCGAGGAATGCAGTGGAGGGGGCGAGAGGAGGGAGGATCATTGTTCTGAGAAGCGGTTTATTGGAGAATAAGAATTATGAATTTGCCAAGGGTTGCATTTATCAGTATTTTCTTAATGTTGTTTAAGAGATTATTGGCTCTTCTGAGTAGTGCCTTACAGTTGGAGTTTGATATACCAAAGTGCAATTGCATGATTATTTATTTCATTTGACTGTAGTGTAAATTTTTATAACATCAGCTATTAAGAAATATTATTCATGTCAGCTTTACCAAGCCCCGAGAGGATGCTCACATAACTTTTCAGCATATTTGTTAATTTCCTCAAGCAATGCTTAATATTTACTTTGGAGTTTGCCTTTTGATGCCTCCTCTGTGATGAGCAACCATCAAATAGTCCCCATCATCTTCTGACTTCATTGCAACCAGTAAAATATGGATCAGGGCATCTGAAAACCGGTGTGCAAGACAATGTCACTTTTACTGTCTTTCTACTTAAATATGCAATAAATATGGCTTTTGATAAATACAATTTTAGAATCAAATAGTTTTCTGTAACATCTTGGAATAAAAACAAGCAAAAAATCAAATATAGTGCAGTCATGGCCTTTGGGCATCTGCCTTCCCAGGCTTTGTCTACCCTGTGGCTTCTAGCAGAGGGTTTCCTCAGGCAGAGGAGCCTTCCTGGCAGTGGATGAGGTGTGAGAGAACATGTCAAGCAAAAGGAGGAAAACGCAGCTTGTAATCTTACTACCTAGAGAACATATCTATTGTTGATCTTTTGGTATATTTTTATTAATTAATTAATTAATTTATTTATTATTTTCCTTTATTGACTTTAGAGAGGAAGGGAGAGGGAGAGAGAGAAACATAAGTAAGAGAGAACATCGATTGACCACCTCCTACATGCCACCCACTGGGGATTTGGCCCACAACCTGGGCATGTGCCCTGACTGGGAATCGAACCAGTGACCTCTTGGTGCATGGGTTGATGCCCCACTGAGCCACACTAGTCGGGCTGGTATATTTTTATATGTTAGTATGCCTAAAACTAAAAGAACCCTACTATACATACTTTGTGTGTGTTTCAATTATAGGTTGTCAGAATTTCCTGTTTGCTTTTTCTTCAAATGGAAATTCTTTAGATTTGTTTGCTATGATAATTCTGAAGAAAGTGCAGGTAGACCCTGTTTTTCTGAGATAACCACTGTCAACAATTCTGTGTCTATTTTTCCTGACTAGATATTTAGATAATATTTTAAATATCAATGGAAGCATATTTTATTTATTATTCAGTAACCTACTTTTTCATTAGCAATATTATAAACAACAACAAAATGACAAAAGGCATACTTGTCCATTGCAGAAAAGTAAGAAAATACAGATGAACAAAAAATGAAAATTGCATGTATTCCAACTACCCAGAGATAACAATTGTTAACATTTAGGGGTAATTCCTTGTAGACTTAAAATTTTTTTTACATAAATACTCATGTAAATATGACATTTAAAAACGAGATTATACTGTCTAAACTGCTTTCTGACTACCTGTCATTAAGTAATATGTTATGAGCATTTTTCTGTGACTGTATTAAAAAATTGTTAATGACTATATCAAAGTCTTTTAACCAGCTTTCTATTGCTGAAGACTTAGAATGTTTTCTGATTTTTAAAAACATTTATAAAAGCTATCATGATAAACATTATATAGTTAAAACCCTTGAGAGTATACAGGATTATTTCCTTAAGAGAAATTTCTAGATGTAGAATTATTGGGTTAAAGGTTTTTGCATTTTAATGAGTTTGATAAATATTGCAAGTTGCCTACCAGAAGAGTTTTGCTAATTTACACTTTCTCTAGTAGGGAAGGAAAATGACCTTTTAATCTAATTTTCAACAAAGTTGTTTATTAGACTAAGAAAAATAAATCTTACTATCATGGAATAAATTACTTGTATTTTCAGAGATCCTTTACCATTGACCTTTTATTTTTGGCAGCTGTTTGAAAGTTATTTCCAATTTCTTTGCAGGTGAATTGTCAAAATTCCCACCACTGGAGGCATCTATAAATATCCTTTTATTAAGTTTAAGCATGTGAGATCCTCTCATCCATATAAACTAAGTTCTTTTAATAAGAATTCAAAACTCTGCTTAAGTTAATCAGTTTCTGTAAGATATTAATAATTCATACCAAAGACTTAACCTTACATTTCACTTATTGCACTGAAATCTTCTCAGGAAGCTATTCCACTGTTACAAGTTGGCTTCTTTGTTGCTTTAAAAATCTTCTCTCCTTTAAAGGTTTTTCGGATGTGAACAGCTCGCATGTTCGTTTCCGCTGGTCTGGGGATGCTCCTTCAGAACTCCTGAGGAAATTCAGAAACTATGAAATATGAAATGTTCCTGTTCCGTGGGAGAAAGAGCGAGTGAGCAAGACCATTCCCTGTGCTGCCAACGTGCAGTCTTTCTTCAGATCTTTGAAATGTTATGTTTATATGTCATGTTTGTGAATCTCTGAGTACCGATTGATTCCCCTTCACCCTGAACCCCTTCTCACGATGTGTTTTTCAAATGAGAAAAATTTCAGAAGACAAGTTTCTTTTAATATTTGAATAAATTAAGGCCTTTAGATCCAGAGTGGATTGTATTATGTTTGATTTCCTGTTAATGTTATTTATAGAAATCCATTTTTAAAATTGATCTCTGTATTTAAGTATTTCATTGATATGTGATGATCTCTATTAGTACTGGATGTATAAGAAATGTTTTCTGACTCTGGACTTAAAATGAAATGTGAAATTACTTGTCTAAACCCCATAGAATGAATTAAATAATTTCCCCAAAGCTCATAATGAATGTATAGTTCAACTATATTTTGAAAATAATTTGATTAGATATTTCTACTTTAATTTTAACAATCATAAGTTTAAAAGGTTACTATTTATTTGAGGAAATATGTTCCTACCAGATTTCTTTTGTGTTTTTTTTTTTTTAATTTTTATTAATTTATTTTTGTTACAGATGTTCCCCCCCCCCCACCAGACACCATCCTCCCCATTCCACCCCCTCACCGCCCGAGCATTGACGTCTATGTCCATGGTTACACCTACGTGCATATAAGTTCTTTGGTTTATCTCATCCATCACCCCCGCCCTTCTCCTCTGAGGTTTGTCAGTCTGAACTGTACTCCTTTCTATGTCTCTGGGTCTATTTTATTCATTATATTCCACAAATAAGTGAGATCATGTGGTATTTATCTTTCTCTGATTGGCTTATTTCGCTTAGCATAATGCTCTCCAGATCCCTCCATGTCGTCTCAAAGGATAAGAGATCTTTCTTACAGCTGCATAGTATTCCATTGTGTTTATGTCCAGATTTCTTTTGTTATATAGCAAGTGATCAGAAATTTATTTTCTTACAGTTTAAAGGCTAGAAGTCCAAGATCAAAATGTCTGCAGATTTGGTTTCTTCTGAGGCCTCTCACCTCTCTCTCTCTCTCTAAAATCAATAAATTAAAAAATTCATACATAAATTTTTGGGGAACACAATTAAGTTCATAAAATAGGTGAAAACTTAAAAACAAAAACAAATACAATCCTGTATTGGTTCTCTTAGTTTTATTGGAATTTTTATTGTTTTGTCAAATCTGAATGGATAATTATTTCTATCAATATTTTACCACTTCAGTAAATTGTGACTTGGCATTCTTTTTTTTTAATTTATTTTTTATCCTCACCCGAGGACATTTTTTCATTTTTTGTTCAGAGAGAGAGGAAGAGAGAAAGAGAGAGAAACATCAACATGAAAGAGACACATCGAGTGGTTGCCACCCGCACGACCCAACCAGGGCTGGGGACAAACTGCAACCAAGATACATGCCCTTAGCAGGAACCAAACCCTGGTTTCTCTGGACCCCAGTCCGACACTCCAACCGCTGAGTCAAACCGGCTAGGGCTGACTTGGCATTCTTACCATATCTGCAAATTTTACTTTAGAAATAGAAAGTAAATGCAAAAAAAATACAGCATGTTAAATTAATAAAATGAGGTTTTGGACCACAGTTGTTTGTCATAATGCCTGCTTGGCCTAGCACTTAAAAAAAACAAAACAAAACAAAACCCTAGATTGAATAAATGAATTTTTAAATCTAAGAATTGGAGTTTTAATTTTTTTCTCTTTTACCCCCAAGATTGTCTGATTCACAGCACTGATGACTTTATTTATTTTTGTTCACCTGAGGATATTTTTTCCATTGATTTTTAAAGAGAGTGGAAGTGGAGGGGGGAGGGGAACATTGATGTGTCTCTAAGAGAGATACATTGATTGGTTGCCTCCTGCAGGCACCCCAACCTGGGATGGAGATCAAACCCGAAACCCAAGTATGTGCTCTTGACCAGGAATCGAACTAGTGGCTCTTCAGTGTGCGGGCAGATGCTCTAACCACTGAGCAACACTGGCCAGGGCAGCACTGACAACTTTTAATGACTTGTCAGTGGGAGAAACACTCCCACTCTCATGACCCACTCTGCTTTTGTTACAGATGGATTTCCCAATTATTGACATGAGTAAAGACCATCGTTCATTTACTTTTCTCTCCCATGAGGCCTGAATGAAGCCTCCAAATAAGAAATGAGAAAGAGCTCTACTTGAATGAAGATTTATGATGAGTCAGGCTTGTGCTAAGCACTTTATATACTTGATCTCGTATAACTAAGTGGGAGACTTTTTATTCTTCAACACTTGAATATTCTCCTGAACTCAAAGTTTAAAAAGGACTGTGCTCTGCTAATACAGTTTTTCTCTTTGAATGGAAAATAAAGGGAAAACTGGATGACTTTTCTTCAATAATTTAGTTGAATTCCCTAGTGTGTTTAGTACAGTTGCAATTGTACATATGTGTAATTGCACATTTTGAAAGCCATTTATTTTTGGACTTTGGCTCAACTTCATGGCAGAACAAACCAATTATAAAAAGATAATTTTAGATTACGTTTATTAAGCCCTTCAGTCAGCTCTAAATGCTAACGATAATTAGTTTAATGAATGTGGTACATATTTCTTGAGAGCATTATATGAAAAATATTGTACTATTGTTTGTGTAGGATTTAAAAATGCTTAAGTCATGTTGATGCTCTCAAGTAGTTAATAATTTAGTGAACTAAGACTGGTATCTGAATTTCGTATAGTTTAAAAGGAGCATTTTGAATTAGTGTAAGTCTGTACTTAGAACATGCTTGGCACATAATAAGCACTATGTGGACTCGTTACTATTCTTACTATATAATAATGTGTTGTCTTGTGATACTCAGTTAACAGAATAATGGCCTCCTTTTCTCCTCAATCCCTTTCCCCCAAGTCTCCGTCTCAGAGGCACCGTTTCTTGCGTGTCTTTTTAGAGATACACTGTGCGTTACACACGTAGCTGTTTTTCTGTTCTTTTCTTTATACAGATGGTAGCATATTATTTACACTGCTGCATACCTTCCATTTATTCAGTTAATCCTGGGGATTTTTCCATTTTTAGTACACGAGTGTTATTTTATTCTTTTTATCTGCTTCATGGTATTCCATTGTGTAGATGAACCATAATTTAACTTGTCTTCTATTGATGCTTTTCAAGGTTATTTACAGTTTTTTCCCTAGATCACAAGTAACACTGTAATGAATAGCTTTTTACATAGTATTCTTTTTTTTTATTAATTAATTTTTGTTACAGATGTTTCTCCTTTTTCCCCCACTGATTCCCCCCTCCACATAGTATTCTTGTATGTGAAGTATACTTGTAGGATACTGCACTTGATCTTAGCCAAAAGGCCGAGGAGCGATAATACCTAATGCTGGAATGGATCAAACACATTTAGAATTTGATTACCATATTCTTAAACAAATAACAGATGCAAGTTTGCAAATTTGGCAAGTTTCAGAGATATTAGGGCCCCTATGGGAAAACCCAGAAAATAGTGCTTATTCATTGGGGTTCTTGCCTTTAGGTTTTTTACTCTAGGCTAGACTTTGTTGAGGGGCTCATTTTGGCATTGTGCTTATGGAACAATTTCTTAGCACCTCCCCTAGCCCCTGAAACTAGGGAGTGCCCAAGATACAAAACAATAATGAAACCAGAGTACACTTCTGGTACCTTCCACAGACAGGAAGAGAATGGCGTTGTTTCAGTGTCATGGCTTCTTGCCTTCTGGGTGTCCTGAAATGTTGAAATACAATTCTGAAACAGTTCTGCTCTTTTAATTTAAAGGGCAACTCAACAGAGCAACTCTGGAAAACCTAGACAGAATTCACAATTTCCTAGGATCCCAAATAGTTTCCAGTACCCAGTGGATATATCCCAGCTTGTCAGAAATATTCCCTTTAATGAACAAATTAGAAATGCAAAAACAACTCTGCAGATATTTCTTGTAAAGAGAGAGATGGATAAGGGGAAGATAAGATTGTTTTCCTGCTTATGAATTTTCATATCCTTTCTGTGCCCACATCTGATGGTGGTTACAAAATCAATCACAACAGCAAGTGTCGATGACTAAATGCAGTTATTGAAAGGGTCTTTAATTTCCTGGAGGCAAACACCATTACCCGCCATCTTCATATCATAGACGAAGAGATGCCGGGACTACTGGGGAGTCAGCGATGGGAGAAATTATAAAACTGATGCAATTACCGAGAAAATGATGAAATGTCTCACGATGAAAGGCTTCAATTCCCTTCAGTTTCAGGTTTTGTGATATGCATCAGTGTGGTGTGTCTTCCAGTATTATTACTTCTCGGCTTTCTGTGTCATCTCACCCTCCTTGTGGGAGAATATTTGCATCAGGCTGCACATTCTCCTCCTTTCCCCTCCCACCCGGGCTGTTTCATTTCTTCTGGTGTTTTTGCTTCGATGATTTCTTATGTTAATTAGCTGCCAAGAGTGAATGTTTCCATAGTGGAATCTAAGTTAGGTTTGTGGACACCTAGATCTTTCTTTGGTTCTAACTTACTGGGGGATTTAGGGAAAATCCAGTTTCTTCTACCTGTGGCTGGAAGTATGATCTCCCTTTTGGGGAGCACCGGAGCTTGACCCAGGCCCGGCTCTACAGCTGGCCTGTTTAGGGCCTCCAGTGGGAGCCAGGACACTGTGGGAACCGATGGGGAATGTGTAATCCAGAGGAGAAGTGAAGGATTAGTGAGACAGGGAAAGCAGAGAAAGTGGATATGTCTTCTTCATTCTTTCTCATAACTCTTCCTTTTGTACTATTCTTTTTTTTTTTATCCTCACCCGAGGACATTTTTTCATTTTTTTGTTCAGATAGAGTGGGAGGGAGAGAGAGGAAGAGAGAGAGGGAGAGAGAAATATTGATGTGAAAGGGACACATCGAGTGGCTGCCACCCGCATGACCAACCAACCAGGGCCGGGACAAACTGCAACTGAGGTACGCGTCCTTAGCGGGAACCGAACCTGGGTCTCTCTGGACCGTAGGCCAGCACTCTAACTGCTGAGCCAAACCGGCCAGGGCTCGTACTGTTCTTTTAAAGAAAAGGGCAGACTGGCCAGTTTGGCTCAGCAGTTGAGCATCAGCCTGCAGACCAGAAAGTCCTGGGTTCAGTTCCCGCTAGGGGCACACACCACCACCAAAAAAAATAAAAAGAAAGCAAAGGGCAGAGATAGAAAGGGAGAGATTACGATTGAGTAGGTATATCTATATACATAAGCTCCAAACACCTCAGTTATTTTCTTTTTACATTCACTTGTTTGATGCCATTTTTGATAGCATCCCACCTCTGAAGACAGTGGAGATTTGTCCTCAGAGTAGAGTGTATTAAATATAAATAACCCATGTTAAATAC